CGCCCGTGACCGCCGGGCACTCCCCCAGGCCACGCGGCTCCCTGGGCCGCCTCGGCGCCAGCTCCCCACGTCCGCCTCGACTCAGTTTCAAATCCGCTTTGTCGCCGTTCTCCCCGTCCCCCCCCCCCCCCCGCCTTTGAGTTCTCCTTAACACTGAAGGTCCAAGTGACCAGGCACTTCTGCTTGGCACAAGGATGCGGGCGCTATTTCCACCCCAGCGCCCTGCCCAGCTCAGATTGGGGAGGGGGCGTGGCGCGTCCTCAGGGCAAACTCGAGCGGACTTGAATTTCCGCCAAATTCGAAATGAAGGTCGGGGGAGCCCGGAGCTCTGCGGGTAAGTGGAGCCCCAGGGTCTTGTCTTCTTCGACCATCGCTTCTCAAGCCACCGACGGCTAGGACGCGGGATGTCACTCTGCTGGCTTTGGAGGTGCCTCCCCAAAGAGATCGTCGGTGGTGCGTCCTAGTCGCGGTGTCGCGCCAAGCCTCTGGCCTTGCGAGTCACCGACCCAGTTGCTGGGGCTGAGAAGTTGAAGCGGGTCCGGGGCGGGCGCACAGAGGGACTGTGCGGAGCTGCCCCCACGCTGCGCGGCATCCGGAGGGTGGACAGGCTGGAGAGGAGACCAGAGAGGGAGGTTGGAGCGAAGCAAGTTAGGAGCATCTCCCCCGGGCAGCCTCCCTCGCCTTGCCTCCGCCAGAGCGCCCTTGGCCTCTGGGTCCTGCATGGGGGCGTCCTCTGCCCCCACGTGTCTGCTGGGCCGCGACGAAGTGTGCGCTACGAGCCTGCCCAGCTTCCAGAGAGGCGGCCAAGGACAGGGAAACTGGAGGGGCCCTGAGGCCAGGAGACCGTGACCCTGGAGAGTTCCACCTCCTCCACCCGGGCTTCGTTGCGCCGGTGCGCTCTAGAGTTTTTCCGCGGACAGGGGCTCGGCGCAGAATGTTACCCACCATGCAGACCAGCTGCAAGGCTCTCCAGCACACCGCCGGGGTCCCCTCCCCGAGGCCCCGCCTTGTAGGGGCGCTGGCCCCGCGGCCGCGCTCAGGTCTCACCTCCCGGGGAGCGCCCCCTCCGCGCTGCGCCGTCTGGACTGTCCCCCGGGCCTCCGTCTATAGCCGCGGCCCTGCGCGGGGAGCAGAGGTCCGTGCCGAGCGCTGCCTTCCCAGGCGGTCGCACTCCAACGCTGCAACAGGTGGAGCCGCGCGGCTGCCAGCGGCGGCGACTCCACCCCGTCGCCCGCCTCCTGGACGCGCGGGGCCA